CCAAAGGTAAGACCGAAGTCTTTGGAGCCTCTGCTTAAGTGCCGGCTTGGTTAGGTTCTTACAAGCGGGGCACGAATGGGTCGGATGTTCCTCGCCCAGGCAAAAAAGACACTGACTATGACCGTTGGAAAGTGTGATTTTATTCGTACAAGTAGTACAGTGTTTGAAAGGCGATGGCGAGGCCATAAGCAAAGAACTAGTGGGGGGGAAGGGGAAGGGGGGAAAAGGAAAGGAATAAAACAGCGGGAAGCCGATTAGGCAAACAAAAAGATGCGGAGGATCACTAAGTAGGCAATAAAACTAAAGATAAGTAAACAAAAGCTCAAAAGAGCCTAGAAAAATAGCCAGAAGGCAAATAGCGAAGTGCTGTCTTTCCTGATAACCGTTCAGCTCGGCGGAAAAAAGGAACTGGGGAAGATGGTGGGTGGGAGGAGCATATACCTTGTGGAGGATCACACCATAAAATTGTTACTTTTAACTCTAGAATCTTCCGAGAGAGTCAGTGGAGGTGTAGACAATACCGATATGTGTGCATTCACAGAGGCCACAAAAAAGAACAAAAACGTACGCTGAGAAGCAAACATCCAGTCTACTGTGTCAAATTAATATTCTTAAAGATATAGTACATGCCTCTCTTCTGTTGTTTCCACCCAATCCTGGTAGGTATTTGCACACATACAAATATATATTCTTCATATTTCCAAAAAAGGAACTATATCAGGCGGAAGGATTTTTCCAATTTTTTCTATATACTATTGTCACCTTTTTATATTAATTTTGTATTAAGATTCTGGACCGATAAGAAGAAAATAAAGTGAAAAGCCAGAATACCAACATTTGCATTAGGCATTAATTAGGTAATTAAGATGGGCAGATTTTTTTTGTATAATGAATCTCATTTTAGGAATAAATCTTCTAATCCCATTCCGAATGGTCATATGATTGATCTCTGATACCCACATGTGTTTCTAGACCTAGAGGAACACTAGTAGCAGTCTCTGATACAGACAAAGAATCTGGAGGAATAGTGTGGTCTAAAATAAATAAATATATCTGCAGAGCTGGAAGAGACTCTGTGGACCTGTCAAGGAGGCACAGTGGGGAACTGAATTACCAATCTCTGCCTAAACCACTGAGCTATCCAGCAGTAAGAAAACACCAGAAAAAGATACATGTGCTCATATATCTTTTCTGCTCACTTTGATTTGATCAACCATTTTTAATGCATGTGTTTCACATAATGTTCAACGTCTGGTAAACATCAGCATTCATTAGGGCATAAGAACAGTTGCTTTTCTTAATATGCACATGGAGATACACCTTCCCATGTCTGGACATATACAAATGAATTCTGACAAATACATTCTACGTGATTGTCCATGCTTGCTTGTGCCATTAGTGTTTCCTGACATTCATATATGTCTTTTAAGACATTTGTCGGTATTCATTTCATTGCAGATAGCCTCTCTAACATATGTAGCACCTCTTGTCATCTGTATAGCACATCTGATCTAGATGCTATTGTTGAAATTAAAAGAAAGAACTAAGATAATAAACTAGTGTCCTGTAAAAAATAGCATTTCTTTTGAAATAACACATTATTTACATATAATCACATTTTTTACCTGCTCATGGATGGAGCTCTGATGGTTTATCACTCTAAAAGATATTCTGAATTCTTGTGGGAGCTGGGAGTTCAATGTACACTCCCCGTATTCTCCATCTGTACATCTATACTTCCTCATTACTATTCAGTTTACCTGAGAACAACTCAAGTAGCCTCTGCAGTGCAAGGCCTCATGGTGCAGTGGTTAAACTGCTGCCCTGCAGCCAAAACTGTGCTCACGACCTGGGGTTCAATCCCAGGTAGCCGGCTGAAGGTTGACTCAGCCTTCTATCCTTCCGAGGTCGGTAAAATGAGTACCCAGCTCACTGGGGCAGTAGCAATGCGTAGCCTGCATAATTAACTTGTAAACCACCCAGAGAGTGCTTGAAGCACTATAGGGCAGTATATAAGCAGCACACTTTGCTTTTAGCCTCCTAGAGTGGTCGCAGTGACCAGATATGCGGGATATATATAAATAAATAAATAAATAAATAAATAAATAAATAAATAAACAAACAAACAAACAAACAAACAAACAAACAAACTTGGCTAGTGATGTGTACAGAGTCCTCCCATTTTCAATAATATTCCTATGTGCACTGTCTGTCTATGATTGACTGGATACACATGGGACAGAGGAACAGGGGAGAAACAGGACTTTGCTAAGCTCTGTGTACACCCACTCACATACAGCATCTGTACCCTCAGGCGGAGATGAATCATGGCTCAAAGTGTCTTCAGAGAAGTGTATGACCAACTTTACAACCAAGGAATATCACAAATAATCATATACATTTCTTAATACAGAAAGTATTGCAATGAAATATTTTTCTAAATCACATTAAGCCTGACTATAAACGATCAAAGAAAGTAGCTGACAGCCATGCAGTCCAATATTAATGATTCTTCAGTAATGCAACTCAAAAAGTGATATCCATTAGAAGTAGTTCACATAATAATTGAAATGATCTGCCTAGAATTCTGCTAACAGCATTATACAAGCTGTTGTGCTGTGTCATCATAAATCACCCTGTTTTAGCTATAAATGACTTCACACAAGCCTTCATTTAAGTGGCATCCATCACGAGCCTCATAACATACATTTTAATCTCTGCTTACAAGGAACTGCATTCTCCATGACGTTAACAATAGAAGTCAGAAAAGGCTTCATCGTTTTTTAAAGTCTTTTGTTAAAAGAGCTTTAATATTCACGGCATTTTAATCATGTAACTGAATTTAATTCAACTTTAATGTTTGCCATTTTACTGTATTTCAATCTGTTACAGTATTATATAGTCCTGTAAGCCACCTTGAGTCCCAATTCTGGAGAAAAGGTGGTGCACAAATGAAATGAAATAAGGCTTACCAAGTCAACTGTAGCAAGGTACATCAGAAGAGCAGTGGAAGAAAATGTCTTGAATTTGAACATGACCATAGAGATATTTGGATTCCATCTTATTGGGCGGCTCACCATAGCATAGCCTTCCCCGTCAAACTGAACAGTGCCCTCACCGTCTGCTACCTGAGGGCTGAGGAGAAAAGGAACAGTCAAAATCCAAATAAGATTCCCTTGAACTCCGGAACATGTAACTGAAAAAAGCAGTCACTGAAGCTGGAAAATCTACATAGTACAGATCTTTTAGCAATACAGTAATATGGACATACTTTGAAACTGATCCGTTAGTCCCTCGCTATATTTTCAAATAATGGCATTTTTTGAGCAACAACATCAGTGAATTCAGATCAATCTCCTATAACACGATTTGTGAAAAGAAATGACTGGACTCTGATGAGCATGGTTCTCATGTTACGATAAGCTATGGTAGTCTAAAAATGTCACCCTTACATAGAAAATGCTAGAAATGGCCAAATGAGAAACACAAACATGTAAGTAACAATTCATTTTGATTTTTTTAAAGCAAAATTATGGTCTTACATAATTTGCACATTTGAAAGAATATAAATGGAGAAGGTACAGAGGACTTTTACCTGACAGCACACCCTTTACACTCTCCTTCAATGTCTCTGAAATTCCATAGCCCAATTGGTTTGCTGTCTAAATAAGTCTCTCCCATACAGCCAGTAAACGTTGTGACTCTGACAGCCTCAGATTTCTGGAAATACAAAATCAGTTCTGATGTCTTTGTTGTGGGACACCACAGCTTGAAAAATAAACAGCTAGCATTCCAAGGGCCACTTGAAAGGTAGTAATTACCTTTTATGGTTACAGTTTTAAAGTTACTACACTTTCCCACTCTTAGTAGCTAAAATGTTTAATTTTTAGTTATCTAAAAACACATCAAACTGTTACAGGCCATTGATCTGTGGTACAAACTAGACCCTTCCCCCATTCTGTCATTTCAAGAACCACAAATTAGCATGAGATTCAGTCTGGAACAGTATTTCAGTCACATGGTATTCTCTCTCTGTCATTTAATGAGACCGTATATTTGCGACTATAAAAAATTACAGTTACTGTATAGAACCAGTTAAAGTTACCCCTTACTGACTTACAGTAGAAATCATCATACAGTATAGTTCCATCTTAAGTTTAGAGTATTAAGAGATCAGTCCTGACAGCATATGAAATCATGTTGTTCACAGGCCAGAATCTTACTGGACCTTTATGTGTACACAAGAGGAATTGTGGAAGTTGCCATGACAAATCGGCAAGATTTCATTTGCATGTCAGTCATGTGCTCAGTTCTCTCCCTGTTTACGCATCTGACACATGCCCAGCACTTTGTCCATCAGCTGCAACAACCTCAGCAACTCGTTTTGCATGCCCATAAATGCCCAGTAGGATTTTGGTCAAGGTGATGTTGAGTCACGCAGATTTTTAATGCTGTCTAGGTTTTCCGTGAATGTGTTCTACCGAATGATTACACACTGTTTTAATTACAACCTCCAAAAGAATATTTATTATCTGAGCCAGTTATACAAGCAATTATGTATCTATTTATTTTTGAAATACAAGCCAGACAGAAGCTGGTGAAAAACATTAGCAATGTGGATCTCAAAATGGAACTGCATATCTGCAAACCATCTTCAGTGCATTGTTTGAACTGGGCCTTAGCATAATAATAATATCAAAGAAGAGCTTTACAGGTACAGTGGACTGCGGGAAAGACAAATAAATGAGTACGAGATCAAATCCAACCTGAATTCTCACTAGAAGCAAAGATGACTAGACAAAAGTTACTGGATTTGGACATATCATAGAAGGAGAAGGATCACTCGGAAGGGCAAGAATATTAGGAAAAGTGGAAGGCAGAAGAAAACAAAAAGGCAAATACCTCATGTAAAATTGATTGGCTCAATAAAGGAAGCCACAGCCTTTAATTTGCAAGATCTGAGAAGGGTTATTAAGAACAGGACTTTCAAATTTATTTAATTTATATTATTTATATGCCATCTTTCTCCTCACAATGGACTTTTTGGAGGTTATTCATTCATTCACAGGATTTCCTTGTCAGAAGTGATTTGATAATATATGACAGTAAAGAACAATGTCACTATATTCTAGAAATGATAAATACCTTCTGAATATTTCAAAGTTATCCTATATATCTTCATGGAAACTATAGTATTGCCTTGATCATGTGAAAGAAACTACAAACGCCAATCAGAGTGGCTTCTTGACAGAGTTAAATTATTTTGGAGTGTTTCTTTTCTTTTCTTTTTGCTCACATACCAGCAATATTAACATTCAAATTCCAAAATAAAAATAAACATGTTTGGCTAAGATCATCCAGATTTTTAAAGGATTTTTATTCCAACAGGAACTTGTCCTTTAAAAAAAATCTGACTTTCTTTTATGTTTCACTTCAACGATATGAGCTTGTTTCAATTCCCGATATTCAGCAAATTAAGACCCACAAGCACCTGCTACTTTTCATGAAGCAATTATGAATATTAAAAATATTAATGTGTGAGCATATGGAGAACAGCAACTTGACTTTCAAAAGAGAGGCATGACATGAAACTCAAACAACTTGGATGATCTATTCCAAGGTCATTGTCAACGTTCTAATTGCCGAAGTACAATTTTAATGACGCTTTTGAGGACTTCATGATAAACAGGCACTGCATCCTATTTGAGTCAAACTGGGAAAGTACATTAAAATAAAAAATCCCACCAAATAAATGAAGAACTAAAAAACAAGAAACTTGAGAGAGGAAGGTGAAATAGGTGAAATAAGTTTTCAAATATCAAATCTTTCATTGATCGTTTAAACTGTTCAGCCCAAGCTCCTCCCCTCCCACTCCTACTTTGCTGCGGAACTTTACAAGGACTATAACTATGGTTTGGGAACCATTGCTTCAGGGAGGGACTAGTAACATCACTGGGGTGAGCTATTCCATCTGTGCACCCCAGCTGGTACTTGCCTGCTAAGGAACTCTAAGGGTGTGCATGATTCCTGGGTTTCTTTTGACACAGAAGATGCCTTTTGCTTTGAGACATGTGGAAGGGTATATTCAATGTTAAATACAGATAATAAATATTTGCAGTCCCTAAGTTATTGAATTTTGCAAATCTCTCTGAAATCCCAACAAGTCTATGATATTGCTCCAGCACTGTCTAAATCCAAGTGGTCAGCACACAGACTAGTTAACAGAACAGTCATTACCTTTATTTTTCCAGTTAAACCTCCAACAAACAGCATGGCATTTGCATCCACATCCAAAATTGTGTAACCTGGTGGAGAAATTGCATGGAAAATGCTTGGCCCAATAGCGGCTTTAGGACCTTCTAAAGCCTGTACTGAAACTGTGCCATTTCTCCCAGTCCTTCAAAAGAAAAAAAAAAGAAAAAAAATAAGAATGTTTATTTATTTATTAGATTTATATACCACCCATCTAGAATGTGTCTACTCTGGGCGGTTTACATATAATATAAAAAATAAACTAAGATAAAATCTTACATAAATTCTATATATAAGAGTGACATAAACTTGACCCCCCCCCCCATGGCCTCATATAGATGTTAAACAGCATTGGGGAGATGATTGAATCCTGTGGAACCCCACAACTGAGGGACCATGGGGCCCATACATTCTCCCCAATCTGCACTCTCTGAGGATAGCCTTCCGAGAAGGACCGGAGCCAAGTGAGAGCAAGGCCACCAATCCCCAACTCAGAGAACCTTCCCAGGAGGATACCAGGTTCAACGGTATCAAAGGCGGCTAAGATATCAAGGAGGACAAGCTAGGACATTTTGCTCCTGTCGGCCTCCCTAAGTAGGTCATCAAGTAGGAAGACCAATGCCATTTCTGTACCATAGCACAGCCTGAAGCCCAACTGAAACAGATCTAGTGCGTCGGTTTCATCCAAGAGAGCCTGAAGCTGGTTGGCCATCACCCTCTCAACTACCTTGCTGAGAAAAGAAACATTGGCGATGGGCCTATAATTGCCAATGTTGGCTGCCACCAAGCTCGGTTTCTTTCTAATGGGTCTAATGAGCGTTTACTTTGCCCTCAAGAAGAGACCCATTTATTATTTCAGTGGCCCATTCAGTAATCACCGGCCTGGCAGCTTTCATTAGCCAGGCAGGGCAAGGGTCAAGGGAGAAGATGGGAGGAGAAGGGGAATTCTGTCATTAATGAACTAATTAATCAACTAATGAACTATTGTGGCTCAGTAAAACTGCTTGTACATCTCTTTCTCTCTGGTTGACATCTCAGTGGCAGAGATTTGCTACAATCATGGCACATCTCCACCTCTTATAGTTTGGATTAGCTGTTCTTCATTAAAGTTCAAATCTCTTCCCATTTACCCTCCACCTTTCTTACAATAATATATTTCAGTATATAATATTTGTTGCAACGAATTATGTGCCCAAGATATGAGAATTTGCGTTTCTGAATAATCAACTCTATTTCTTTCTTTATCTCCCTCTCCAATGAAACACCTTTTCATTCTTTATTCTATAAATTCATGGAATATAAAAAAAATTATTGCATGTCCACATTTCAAAAGTATTTATTCTGTTCAACATCTCCTTCTCAGGAGTCCAAACCTGACATCCCTAGAGGAGGGCTGACCACATGTAACACTTTAGTATCCTCTGCCTCCCAGATACATTAAGCTGTTTGTTACACAACAGTTTCTTTAACTTCATAAAAGCTGTTCTTGCTGTCTCAATATACTGCAGTCTTTGTGGTTGCTAATGAAGCATCTTAGTCATAATATTATCTCTACTCCTCACCATTGTCCGTACATGCAAGATAACAATGTGTAAATTTCTGTACGCTGCTCTATATATTCAGAAGAAGATACAGTGTATGGCTGCCTACTGATCTCATAAAAGGAGATTAGCTGGCTAACACAATTGTTCGCTGTCCTGGCTTCAGTACAGCTGCTTGACTGCAGGTGTCATGGTTGAGGTCATTGTTTCATCCAAATTGCAATGACTGTAATACAATTTTTAAACTCTGTGACATCCTGTATTCAAGGATGGTTTTACCAGTGTTATTCCCCAGTGAGTTTTTATGAGCAATGGGGAGTTGAACGCAGGTTTCCTGAGACCGGGTCTATCACTTGAACCATTATACCACACTGGACAACAATGTAATTATGGGGTGGAGGCTCTGCCTTCATTTGAGAAGAGGTAAAAGAAAACTCTCAAAAGGCCACCCACAGGGTTGTGTGGACTACCATCACATTCTTTCCCCTCACTTATAGCTTCTTGGAAATTTCTGGATCATTCTATGCAAGAGGAAGAGACACTTCCCTAATGCACATTGTCTTTTCTATATACTGTACTGTACTGGCAAGTAAAAAGTTAGACATAAAAATGAATGTAGTGACATGTTGAAGCTGTCCATAGCAAGTTGTTACATTTATTCTTTGTAAAAGAAGTTTCTTGCTTCTGTTTACTGGGCTGTTTGATCCTCCAAATCCAAAATAAAACTCTGCTCTTTTAAAAAGAATGAAATACTTCATCTGTGTAAAGACATATCTACACTTTATTTGATTGGAACAAATAAAACATTAAACTTCAAATCTCTTTATATAAAATTAAAGCACTCCATTGATTTTTTAAAAATTTGCTAATGCATTTATTTGTTCCATGGAGATTGTCTGCTTCTTAAATCAATAATGTATTTTATTCCATGGAGCAGAAATGGTTATTCCCTCCCCTCTCTGGAAATGTCATGTCTTTAAATTCCAGTCTGTTTTGCCTCAACAAATTGATAATGTTAACAGGATACGCATGGGATTCCTTAGTGAACATTATCTACAAAATAACATAAATCGGACTGTCATGCAAATTACTGGCAAAAGCGTTTAACAATTCTAATGGTGCCTGCTGTATAATTAGACTGTAAAATGAAATGTATTATTAAGGCATAATTATGATGCTATGCAACATACTTATCAAAACAAGAATAAGCATTAGTCAACTGGTTAACTAGTATTTCATTTGTAATTTCTGTCACATAAAACTTCTAACAAGATTAAAGACGCTCCCATAATAACTTGTTTTCAACACTCCAGTTTCAGAATTAATATAATCCAAAATAGTTGTAGAAAAAAAAGACAGTGAGATTTTGTATTGCAGTACACAAAGCATGAGGAATGACAGAAATATATATATTTTTGGAGGAAGGGTGAGATGTGTACACACACCCTAGAAACTAATTGTGATTAAGACACATACAATTCCACATGCTTTAAAGATAATTTGTTGCACAGTAGGACTCCTCATAGCCTTGGAATCAGTATCTGTTAAAAATATTAAATGTAAAAAACCAGAATGATCTGTTTACACAATGCAGTTACCACAACTGGCCGCTAGAGGGAACCAAAGACTATACTATATAGGCAATCACCATTTCGCCTAGTCCTCTGCCATCTTGAGGTGATTCCCTCTACCTCGCAGAGCGTAATTGTTGCCAGCCATCTTCGGCTATTATACTTACAGATACAAGAAGAGTCCCAAGTCAAACAAATTATAGGTATGTTGTATATAGTATTCACTATTATCTGCAATTTTCTTTATCTCCAAGGGGCTTAGAAGAAATTTCCCGCAGATACGTGGGTCCTACTGTACTTCTTTCATAACAGTCACCACAAGGTGCTCCTGAGAAATAACTGCATGTAACACAGACATGTACGAGATGCCTCTGTGCACTCAATGAATGTGGATTCACTTGGGGCAAAATAAGTACATACGTATTTCACCTCTAAACAGTACCTGTAGAGTACCCATCAACATGCATTAGTGGTAATTAATTTGATGTCATACTATCAAAGTAAAGATAAATTCTGGGTCTTCTTCATAGAAAGTATGAGACAATGTTTTGAAAACATGAAACTGTTAGGGAAATCTATGTAAAAATAGAAGAACAAAAATATTTATTTTATGTTTCAAAAACCCATATACAGTACTTGAGTTTTCTTGTGTTTGTATTCTGGCCTCCCATGCATTCTGGGTAACTCAAATAAATTCAAATATGAAAAGCACAAAAATAAAGGAACTTCTAAAGGATTTCCCCTTTAATTTTGCCAAGAAAAAGAAAGCAGAGCACTAACCTTATAAAAGGTAAGACAACATTCTTTGTTAAACCTAAACAATTTGGTTGTTTTAACCTACGTTTTAGAACCCATCCAGAGCTTCCTGGGAAGAAGCTATAGGACTAAAGTACCACTACTGAGAATGCTCCTGCTCAATACCATAACAGAGTCCATCTTGAAGATTAAATCATGTCATGAAAGAATGGAGTACTTGCCTTGATGCTTCAATTCGGTACCAAAATCCATCATCAATTGTCAGATCTGGATACTCAACGCGACCCACTCCAGATCCTACATCCCATAAGAAATCTACTTTGCCTTTACGCATTTCTATGGCCAGAAAGTCAGTCTAGAACAAAGACATATTTTTCATAAAATTAAAATAGTGGAAAAATAGTTAAAAACAACTATTTATAAGCAAGGAATATATTTATTTGTTTGTTTGTTTGTTTCACTTTTATACTGCCCATGTGACTGCAACAACAAATAATACTTTAAATAAATTTGTAAAATATAGTTACAATACAAAAAATCTAATTAATCATATCAATCCACTTGAACTAAAAAAAGAACAGCATAAAAAACCATACAGACAAGGTGGTAGAGCAGATAATTAAATGCTGAAAGAACCACTATTCTCTACTGATGTAATATCCAGTAAAGCCTGTCAAAACAGCTATGTTTTCAAAATATTTTAAAAAAATTCCCAGTGAAGGAGCCAGATGAATTTCCAGTGGGCATTTATTCCAGAGGTGAGGAGTGACCGCTGAGAAAGCCCAGGTTCTGGTCTTTCCAGGCTTCTCTCGGGGTCAATAATCTCAACAGTCTGGCTTGCGAAGATCAAGTAGGTCAGGCAGATCTCACTGGAAGAAGGTGTTCTGCCAAGTATCAAGATCCCTAACTATTTAGGGCCTTATATGTCAGCGTTATCACCTTGAAGCTGGCACAGAAACAGACAGATAACCTGTGCAAGGCAGCCAGAGCAGGAGAGATATGATGGTGCTTATTTACTCCACTCAGTTATCTGGCTGTCATATTCTGGACCTGCTGAAGTTTCCATATTTCCATAACAGCCCACGTAAAGAGGGTTGCAGTAGTCTAATCTTGAGACTACCACTGTGGGACTAGCGAGGTGAGGGACCCAATGTCAAGATAGGAACACAGATGGGCAATCCACTCAGGTGGGAGAATGTGGAATGGACCACTGACACTACCTGGGACTCCACTGATAGCACTGGTCCAAAAGTATGCCCAGACTGTGAACCTCATTTGTAGCAGAGAGAGCAGGCTCCTGAAAAGAGAGGGAGGCCCCCAAACCATAGACATTAAGGGCACCCACCCACAGGACTTACATCTTGTTTGGGTTTAGCCTCAGTCTATTGTCCCTCATCTATTCCAGCAGCACAGCATCCAGGCAGTGCTCAAGGGACAGGATGGAATCTACTGCAGAAGGATGGAATGAGATGTAGAGCTGGGTGTCATCCACATATTGGTGACATGAAGCTCCAAAACTCCTGATGACCTCCCCCAGCGGCCTCATATAGATATTAAACACCACTGCAGAGATGGTTGACCCCTGAGGGGCTGCATAATTAAGAGTCCAAGGGGTGGACATTATCTCCCCAAGCTCCACTCTTTGAGGATGATCCTCTAGGAAGGACTGGAGCTAGGAAAAGCCAAACTACCCATAGTGCCTCCCCAGGTATTGAAGGCACTGAGAGGTCAAGGAGGGCCAACTGGGATATTGGGCCGCTGTTGGTCTCCCTCAAAAGGCCATCCTGCAAGGTGACCAGTGCTGTCTCTGTGCCATGACATGGCCTGAACCCAGACTGGAGTGGATCAAGGGTGTCAGTCTCCTCCAGAAGCTGATCAGCCACCACC